CTGAGGGGCACCTTGTGGCCAATGGGTTTCTAACAGCCTGACAAGGATAAATTAGAATAGGAACCTCAAAAGTGTCACTATTTCCTAATGTCATGCAGGGGTAGGCAACCTTTCCCCTTTAAGGGCCAAAGGACTTCAGCTCCCAGAAGCCTCAGCCATATTGGCCAATAGTCTGGGATTCTGGGAGCTGAAGTCCCTTGGCCCTTAAAGGGGACAGTTTGCCTACCCCTGTGGAGGCCCTTACTATCCTGCTTTCTGAGCAAAGGAGAAAGAAAAACCCATCAACATTATGCACTAGATTTTTACAAAGTATTTCCCCCCCTTTCAACTTTCCCCCATGTTTTAACTATACCCGTTGCTTCCTTTTGCCAACAAAAGTGGTGAGTTAAGTGAAATTTGTTCTCAGTTCTGTCAATATGGAAAGTTTGCACAAACTTAACAACAGCTAATGGTGGCCCCATTTCTCCCTCAACGGAGTTCTGGATATTGTGAATCCACTGTGCAGTAATGTTGCAGAGGATAGATACTTCTGAGAATGTTATATTGTCTCTTAAGGATTCCAACATTGTAAGTAAGTAGCCCTGATAATTCATTTGGGGGGGGGGTTCAAAAGTAAACATTGAAAGGCGAACTTATCACAGAGTTTTCTTGGCAAGATTTGTTCAGAGGAGGTTTGCCATTGCCTTCCCCTGAGGCTGAGAGAGTGTGACTTACCCAAGCTCACCCATTGGGTTTTATGCCTGAGTGGGAATGGAAACCTGCTCTCCAGAGTCCAAGTGCAACACTCAAACCAATACATTCATTCATTCATTCATTCACTGTTTTTATACCCCGCTCTTCTGCCAGAGCAGCATACAAATTGTTAATAACACAGTTCCCTGCTCTCAGGCAATCTAAAAAAAAATTAAATCTAAAAAGGACATGAAACAAAAGGAGAAGGGGATAGTAGTGGGGAAGGGGATCAAGTCCAGCAGTTCTTCTCTGAGGCCAGGGCCAGGTCAGATGAATGGAGGGAGGGCCCTTCTTCTGTCACTGGGAAGGCCTGAGGAAGCTTAGTCTGCTCCTTCTCTCCCTCTGTGGCCAAGACAATTGCAGGACCTTTGGGGTGCCTTAAAATCCTATAGCACTACACTCTTAAAACGGGGCTAGGTCGCTTTAACTCGGGGGTAGGCAACCTTTTTGGGCCGGGGGCCGGGTTGCTGTGCCTCAGACAATTGGGGGGCCGAAGCAC